TAGTTACTTCAGTACTGCCGGAGGTTAGGTTAGGTGTAGGGCAATAACTCTTCTCCACATTCTCTTTTAGCCAGGCTGCCATAGTTACTTCAGTACTGCCGGAGGTTAGGTTAGGTGTAGGGCAATAACTCTTCTCCACATTCTCTTTTAGCCAGGCTGCCATAGTTACTTCAGTACTGCCGGAGGTTAGGTTAGGTGTAGGACAATAACGCTTCTCCATCGTCTCTTTTCCGAACTGATCCTGAGCTGACACTACACCACCTGAACCCTCACCTGGACTCTTTGGAGATAATTACATGGATCCAACTGGGACTTTTAAAATGATATGGACTGGAATTAATGTCAATGTCAATACAATTTCATGTTCCCCAGTCACCCAGAGGAGGATGGGGTCCCCTTCCGAGTCTAAGTTCCTCGCAAGGTTTCTTCCTGCTAGAAAATAGTTTTTCCTTGCCACTGTCGCCTCAGGCTTACTTGGTGGGGGTTTGGGCCGGTTATATGTAAAGTGCTTTGTGACAATGACTGTTGTTAAAAGCGCTATATAAATAAAATTGAATAGATTCTCTCCCTCATCCTAAGCCCCACATTGAAACCTGTTGGTCCTTGGTAGCAGAAGGTCCCTGTGTTTATCTTCTGGTGTTACAGTTGGGTCGCTTCACAGAGGGAGAGTAGAACAGACTGAATGCATGTTTGGCCAAGACGTTACACAGTGCATGATAATTCTGTTCAGTTATGGTGATGATCTGGAGGGCATCACCATTGAGGACTTTCTAAAGAATGCTCAGACAGAACTCAAAGCCCTAGTGGAGAAATGTGGGAACAGGTACCATGTCTTCAACAACAAGGACACCAGAAATAGCACCCAGGTCAGCAAGTTGTTAAAGGAAGTAGATATAGGACACATACTATACAGGGGATCAAGGTAGGAAGATGAAAACAAATCTTAGTTGTGTTGTGCTCTTTTGTAGACCACTTTGTCCTTCATCTAATATTACCTACAGTATTGTTAATACTGATTTTATAGTTATAATGTTTATCAATAGACTTAATACTACTACTTAATATGTACAAATGATCTTTTCAGCTAACATTCTGCCGCAGTGAGCAGTTTTTTATAATGAAACCGTGTCAAGTTTTAATGCTGTGTTCCATCTGAGCCTGTAACTCGGGAATTACACAACCCTAATTGGGAATTTCAATTGGAACGCCCCCTGAAATCCGAATCCCTACTCGAAAAGTCGGGGGAATCACCATCAGGTTTTATATAATTCGAAAACTGAGTCGTTTGAGAGTTTGTATTTTGTAAAGACTGAAGATGTTCCATGTTGGTTTAATTTGTAGCTATTTGTTGTGTGGCACCGTAAGGACCGCTACTCAATTTCATTGTACTCTGTGCCTTGAACATAAAGGAATGTTGTCTTACATTTCTAATCTAATACACCACCTAGTGGCCAGTCCTGTTACTGGCCCTGGCCCTGATTCTGACAGTGTAAGAGAGAGGGTCAGGTTGATTCTGACAGTGTAAGAGAGAGGGTCGGGTTGATTCTGACAGTGTAAGAGAGAGGGTCAGGGTTGATTCTGACAGTGTAAGAGAGAGGGTCAGGGTTGATTCTGACAGTGTAAGAGAGAGGGTCAGGGTTGATTCTGACAGCGTAAGAGAGAGGGTCAGGGTTGATTCTCCGCTTCAGTTCCAATGACTCATTCACAGTGCTGACCAGCTTCTCACAGAGGGAACATCATCCTCAGAGGAAAGGACGGGTCTCATACATGAGCTTAGTGCTGTTTCATGGATATTTCTTAGTTTTCTTAGTTTTCAACACTGCTGTCCTTAACCTTCATATGGTGTTGGGGTCGACACCGACCCGTTTGTAAGTTTAAATTGCATAAAAGCACCACATAGATTTGTGTACTGCATCAAGGCTTTTTGAATTTGTCATGAATCTCTATTTAAAAAAAAAAATTATTAAAACTAAATTAAGACAAGTCATGCCCGTACATGTAAGGCAAGATAAGACCAATTCGGTTTATTTATATAATTCTCTTGAGGTTTATTTTACCATTATTTTTTATTGAAAATGAAAGGTATGCTGTCAAAAGAAAGGTCCAGAAAGCCACACCAAAAATATTAAAACCAATCATTTCATGGATAAGGAAGCCTAACAAGGTAACCAAGAGGTAAGAAACAAATTGGATGATAAATAATTATTTTGAGGGTATTTTATGGCTGATTTAAGACACGAGTCGGCACCGACCCGTTTAACATAAGAGACAGGAACAGACAGGTAACACAGGACAAATGTTAAAGCCTCCATCAAAAGGTGTAGGGCTGCCGTTGAAGAATATTCCACTCTATTTATTTGTGTATAAAACCTTCCTCAACAAAGTTATCCCAAAACCAATGGCCAACATTTAATATAATTAGCACCAGAGACTTACAGAGGGGGAGGGAAAACAAGACGCCTGTAGTAATTGTAGAACAAAAACAAACAGGAGGGCTTGAGAGCTTCCCGGCTGCCCAACTATATCAGTCTTTTCTCAAAGGAGAAGGTTCTTCTTTACCCAGTGCCACTGAGACCATACAGAGCACATTCTCATCATCCTCGGAGAGCAGCAGGACCGGTATGGCAGTGGCTGACGGTAAGGGTTCAGAATTCTCCGTCTTCCTGTTAAACAGTGTCAAGTTGTTGCCAAGCTTCTGTGCGAGTAAACAGCTGATTTGCATGTCCCAGAATGCCCTGCTTCCATCCTGTACATAGCCCTGTGTTTGTTGCTGTAAATATGGTACTGTGACCCAAAATGTGCCGTGTTCCTACCCGTGCATGTTCCTGGCAGTGTTGGGCATTTAAAGTCCAGAAGATACAAATCCAGACCAAAATTTTGTTTCTACCAATCAGTTGAGCATAAAGACCCCTTAGTACTCAAGTGGTCAAGAAGGACGACTCGAATGCAGGCTGTGGGAAGGTAAACCCCTCAATGGGGTGGTTATTGCAGAGATCAGGCATGATTACACATGTAGACAGAGAACAATGACCAAACAGGGAGCACAGGACTAAGAGACGCTAATATACAGGACTAAACAAAGGGGCAAACGCAAGTCAGCTGTGGCTGGTGAACAAGAGGGCAGGAACAAGAGCTGAGACTAACAACACTCAGTATGGCTGGAGCCATGGCCGAGGGAAAGACAAACAGGGCGGGTCTATACGTGACAGTACCCCACCCCGCCCCCCCACCCCAAAAGGCGCGCACTCCGGGCGTGCCAAGCTGGCCGGGGAGGGGTTCCAAGGGACCATACGAGAGGACGGGCACATGGGGCAGGACCAGGGACGCTGCATAAGGTCGAACACCAGATGCGCAGACCTCCAGGACCAAGGACCTAGAAAGACAAACAAAATCAGGAACGAACAACCATGACACCACTGGAAACACTCAAAACACAACATCACAGGACAAGGCAGGACATTACCGGAATAAAAACGGGAACATTGAAGCTCCAGAATCCAGAACCTGGTGCCTGATTACAAGTTCTTGGCCAGTCTCCCCCTGTGCACTTTTGAGTGTTGCTTTCATACTGTACAACAGGAACTAGGTCCTTTACGCTTAATAAGCATGAGACACGCAAACATCTCGTAGGTTAAACTTCACACATGATTTGAAACTACACTGCCATCCCAAAACAATGGAGGATGCACATGTTTTTGTTAGTTATTTGGGGGACCGATTGCAATCATAACAGGACACAGCCTTTTATTTATATTTTATTCATGCAACCCGCAACATGTGTACAGGCAGTCCCTAGATTACGAATGAGATCCGTTTCCTAAGTATGTCATTAAATCAAATTTGTTGGTAAGTCAGAAAAATTATAATAAAGTACAAAAAAAACAGTATTTATTATAATGATAATAAATTTAAAGTAAGGGCATACGGTACTTTACTGTACCTAGAGTTGACTGTTTTCGCGAGCGTGCATTTCTTCCTACTAACCATTGTATTTTACCCGAATTTTTAATATAACAGGCTTTAGAGTGCCATAAGGCAGTCCATTCATAAGCATGAGTAACTAGTATGTTCTTAAGCCGGGGACTGCCTGCATATTTCATTGTTGTGGCCGGCAGGATTCCACACTGGTCTATGCTGTTTGGTGCTGGTTAGAGCAGCTTTGGTGCTGGTGTAGCTGGTGAATCAGCTTCATTTGCTGTGTGTTTTTACGACAGTTGTTACTTCTAAAAGAAGATAGTAAAGTTGCTGAGTTTCCTGATCAAACTCGCCTTCCTCGCGCACATTACAGCATTTCATGACCCATTTTAGCATCGGGATTTGTGGTCAAGCAGTCAGCAAGATTATCACTGTAAGCACCCCCACAGTAGTGCCTCGGAGGAACTGAATCGGACCGAGTTTCGATGATCTTGCTCATACACACATGCATACACACATGCATACACATACACGCCAAGTCTCGCTCTCTTTCACATGATATACAACAATGTGGTCAGCCATTATATGGGGGGCATGTTCGGGCATATGCGCCTATAGTTATAAAGGACCGTCCCCAAATGCAGCCTGGAACACCAGGAGGCACTCTTTTGATTTCTTAGGCATTATCTACACCACACAACAAACAAAAACAACAACACACACGCGAGCCACTTCACAAGGCTGTTCTGGGCGTACATTTTTCCTCTGGCCTATATGACGTGCTTGTGTAACGTTACGTTAGACAGCCAATCACCAGCGACTTTAGATCTTTACACAGGTATGCTTGCGTGCTTATTAGCTCACAGACACTGAGATGTACGGTTTGGGTATTGCATTTTGTCACCAACAGAAAATTCACTTTTTGATGGTCGGTACCACAAAAGTACCGAATTTCGGTACACAACCTTATATATATTATGGTGTCCAGGCTCCTCTGGATTTACCATAAATATCATAGAAATTTAACAATAAAATGTTATTTACAGTTTTCCCCGCTTGGTTTTAAAACAGAAAAACAAAATATGAAACCTGATTTTTTTCTTTTTCTGTTTTTCCTTTTTCACATTCTGATTTTAAAACAGAAAAACCAGACGATGCTAATTGACTGTTTTGATTTAGCTGTGAATTCTCAATAAAAAAATCTTTGCTCATACTATTCTTCCATTTCGGTATCAAAATACCTGCCTGCGGTAACACAAGGAAAGAGATGTGACTTATGACTTTAAAACTGATGGTAATACGTTAACTTTGGCCATCCTGATTAATACAACAAATTATTGGGGTAAATCATGTTTCATTCTTTTACTGCCATTCATGTAAAACAAAAACAAAACACAGATTCATTTAACACAGGTGTGTTTCATACCTGTTCTCTAAATACTCACTATTCAACTCACTATTGCTATATGGTTACATTTTTTCTTTAAAAGACATAATATATATATATTTTTAAGAATTCTGACACTTTTGAAATTAGACTTCATTTAAATAAACAGAAAATGAATTTATTTAAACTGTACATTTGAAATTTAAATAACATGAACACTTTTTACATTGTGGGGTAAACCATTTCTTCCATTCTTTTTTGGTATTCATGTAAAATAAAACCAAAAGACAGATTCTCTTAACCCAGGTGTGTCTCACACCTGCACTCCAAATAAATGCATTCAATATAAACCTACAACTGGTTGTTTTAGGATGATGTTTAAAGCTTTAAAACATGGTGAACCTTATTTGTAAAAATGTGTTAAATTATCAACAAACGTTATCAACAAAGGTCTCCAATACAACACATGACACTTTTTGTTTTGGTAATTTTGCAAAAAATCATAATGCCTGTAAGTCTGTAATGACTATAATGACAAAGTTATTCAAAAAAATGTTAGAGGCATCACTGCTTACTAATCCTGAAAGCCCGGGCGACTTTCTGCTTCAGTTTTTTTGCAAAACTGAAATTAAGCTCTGACTCCTCTGCTTTTCTTTGAGTCTCTCTTAACACCTCTATCATCTCCCTTTCAATCTCCTCCTTCATTATACTGATCTTCTTGTCAATCTCTGCATCCACTGCACTACCAAGCTCATATGCTATTTTTTTTATGTTTTCCAACCTTTGAGGTTCTATTAACATCTCTCTCATCTGCCTTTCAATTTCCTCCTTCATTTTATTGATCTTCTTGTCAATCTCTGCCTCCAGCTCATGTGCTGGTTTCTGTGTGTCTTTCAACCTGTTCTTCTCCCGCTGTTCCCTGAAACCTTTTCTCTCTTCTCTGTTCTTTCTATTGATCTCCTTATTCCTCGCCCTGATCATGGTCTCAACCTTCTTGCTAATCTTTGTCTCTGCTTCCTTGTACATCTCCTGTGTATAGAAATTTTCCTCATTCATGGCCATCATGCGCTCAATCATGTCCAATAGCTGATTCACCTGGTCCCTATTGGACGAGTCATTGTTGTTGAAGACGTGGTACCTGTCCCCACACTTCCTGATCACCCCCTTCAGGTCTGGGTGAGCATCCCTGACAAAGTTATGAATGGTTTGCTTTTGGAGGTCATCTCCACGAGTGAACAGGATGATCATAAATTTATTTGCTTCTTCACCAAAGATCTCCTGCAGAGCTTCGACACACATCTTCTCCTCCTTTGTGAATCTGTTCAGTTGCATGACCACCAGGAAAGCATGTGGCCCTGGGGAGGAGACCTGGATACATCTCACTATCTCATTCTGGATTTGTTCACTGGGCTGGTCAGTGTCAAACAGGCCTGGTGTATCAATAACAGCCACGTGTCTATTGGAAATGTCACAATATTCCTTTTGACACCGGTGGGTGACAGACACATTCTTGAGGGCAGATTCAAATTCCGTCCTGCCCAGGATGGTGTTGCCAACTGCACTTTTCCCCACTCCTGTTTTGCCCAGCAGGACAATCCTAATTTGGGGGCAGTCAAAGTGGTGCGATGATGCATAAACATCACCTTCACTAGGGCTCTGTCTCTCTGAAAATGAAAGTAACGACACTGCGTTTGTATATAGCAACATTGTATTTATTTGTATGTTATTTATAACTGTGTTGTTCTCGTTAAATGTTTAACTAACAAAGGTACATGGATCCACAAGGAACTTTTGAGGAAAAAAAAAACATTGTTAAAGGCTATAGTGTCACCATATATTATCAGAAATAATTCCGCAAACCATCCTGTTCAACTGAGGTATATTCATTTTCATCTACAAATTGCTGAAACACTACGGAGTCCCAGAAGGGACATGGAGGGAAAAAAAATCAGTGCTTGGAAACGAAACAACATGCATTTTTACGAGATCTCGCAATACTAACTGCGCTGTACCCATTTAAAGTACAAAAGGTATCGTTTATTTATGGACTAATAAGTATAAACGTAAACGATACAAACATGTCCTTTAAGGCGAGCTTTAAGCATTAACCAATGGGGAACAGTGCACACCATGTAACGGTCATATTATGTGTTCTTATACACATTTATTTATTAATAATTGCACTATGTCCATTCACTATTGATCATAAAGTGCACACATCACCATTGAAATATTAATTAAAAATTGACCGTAAAATAAATCTGAAAAATGGGTGTTGCTTGCTTTTGTTGAAAGATATCGCAGCCGGAAAAACTGAATAAAGTTAATTTTACCGTGGTGCCAGAGTTAAGGTTCAAACCCGAACCTACTTTCGGGTACACCAGCCTCTTATTCTCGATTGATGACGTATACATGTATCGACAACTTTTTTTTTTAAACCACCGATTTTTTCCCCTCTACTGTATATCCCTTCCGGGGTTCCGCACAAACGCAGCTATAACTCAGACATTTTTCTATACTAGGCAGTTATACCTAATGTTGGGGAGTGTCTAACTACAACTACTAACTTAAATACTTTTTTCAGTAGATTATTAGTAGCATGGCTAATTTTAAAATGATGTAGCTTTTCCCAGTAACCATTTATTTATTTATTTCAATAACGACCTGTATTATTTTTCTCTCTTTACAAAGACGGGTATTTTCAGGTACCAGGTGCTTCTGAATGGTGTTTTTTGCTTGAATACTCTGGGGATGGATGTTGAAGGGATGAAAAATAATTCACGCCAAACAATATTTTAGACACGTTCATTAAAATGTATAGGAGCTCTTTAGTTCTTAGACAGATTTCGGTTCTTTGGTTCTTTACATTTTTTTTTTAATTAATTTGCTTTAAGAATTTCCTACAGCACAAATCTTATTACCCGACGAAACAGCTTCGACATAGTTAGCTACTTTTTCTCTGTAGCTTGCGGTGCAGCTAACTACTATATGAAAAGAGTAGCTATATTTAATCATAAGTAACTTGTAGCTTGAAAAGCTACCATTTAAAAATAGCTTCCCCAACACTGGTTATCACATAAACCAAAAATGAATTAAGAAAATATACTGTAACGACATGAGAATTAAAGTATGATGCTGCAAATGACCAACCTGCATATCTGCAGATATTCATTGTTCCTTGGAGATGAGCTGATCGAGTCTCCTATTGCTCTTTAAGGCTCCTGTCTTATTTTTATGGCTTAAAATAATACTACTCTCCAGTAGTCCCTCCCCCATTCCGATATGGTAGCTGCTTTTCAAACATGGCAGTGGGGAAAGTTCTTCTTTACCCAGAGCAACTAAGATCAGACAGAGTACATTCTCATTATTTTTGGAATGTAGCTGGACCAGTTTGGCAGTGGCTACTGGTCACAGCGCTCACACCCACTGATTGGCAAAAAAGCTGAGTGCCAGCGTTAACGTAAAGAGTGTTCTGAATTCCTGATAAATAACATCACCTTGTTGTGTCATGACGCAGGCGGGGAAAAAAGGTAACGATCCACTAGACAGCTCCAACACAAAGAGATTTATTGGGAAAACAACACACTGGGTAGGTAAACTATTAAATAAAAGGACCACGTGGGGACAACAGCAAACGGGGGAAATGTACAGCAGCCACGGCAAACCCAGGGTCATTGTCACACCCGAGTCACAGCTGCCACCATCCCGTCACGAGACACATGGTCCAGGCTGTGAACGGCCTTGGCCGTCCCTGGATACGCGGATCTATCTAGGTCGGTTAGTCCCAGAATGCCGCCACACGCCTTCCCCATCACACCATGCTCCGGTCCTTTTCCATCCGTGGAACTCACCCTTCGTTGCACCCGTTTGAATCAACACAAGGTCATTTTCCGCACATGGGTTATCAACATTTTGTGCCAGCTAAACCCTATCCCCAAACCCAGTGGGATCCTTAGCCAAACTCTTAGCCCACTGGTCTGCGAGGTCATTCCCCTGACTGGTTTCATCAGTCCGCTTAGTGTGGGCCTGGCACTTCTCTAATGCCACCTGTTCAGGTAGCATGAGAGCGTCCAGCAATTGATCCAAAAAACTGATGATGCTGAATGGGTTTCCCTGTCCTGGTCAGAAAACCTGTTTCCACATTTTGTTTTTACAAAGATTGCAAATTGCATAATATTACTTGTTGTTAAAAGCCTAAAATATTTCCAGATCATCACCCTCTTATCTAATGTTCGTATGCCCCTAGTGCAAAGGATATGCCCATGACGTAACAGCAGGCGCAAGTCACGGCGCTCAGTGCCAGCGTTAGCGTTCAGCTTCAATTCCGCAAAAACACATCTGTAAAGGGAAAGAGCTGTCGTGCGATTGATTGTACAAATCGATTTAACAAGAAATAGGAGCTGTCTTTTTACAGACTGCCGAAAACCAAATACGCAAGTATCGGATGTGGATTGGTCACATACGGCCGATACCTGATCCATCTAAAACATCTAAAACATATGGGTCAGTGCCGATACCTATCCGAATGTCAGTGCATCTCTAATCCCAAGCCCCACTTTGACACGTGTAGGTCCTTGGTCTACTTTTATCAACTTTTGATAAGCCACTGAAACGCTAATGTGCATGCATTTTCTGTCTAAATGACACAAAAAAACGATTTTCTCTCTCACACGCTCACAACACACGGCCTTTCTGCCTGGTTATTATGTTTGTTATTATGAATAACCACTAACTAGTGTGAGTGAGAACAGTGTCTCATGATAAGCATTAACAGTATCTGAAGAAAACCATGGAACAGCCAGCCAGCAAAGCGGCACGTCTGCCTGGAGAGAGGAGCCATCATATTTCAGTTAAGTTGCTGGTTGCGATTGCTCGATACAATAGCGTATAGGACATGAACTTATTAGCTAGTACCCATAATTGTTGATCAGATAGGTAGCATGTTAACCAATACACTGATTAAAACTAGAATTTCTCAGAATGTGTAGTTTTACTAGTTAATAAGAAAATAAACAAAATGTAATTGTTCAATAATTAGTAAGTTCAATTATTAATTGTGTTGTGTTTAAAATAAATATATCTGATCATAAAAAATATTTTGTGTTTATATTCCTTATAAAATATAAAATGTGATGAGTTAAGCGTAGTGCCAGTTTCAGCGAAATGGTGCCTTCAAAAAATATTATGTAGTATGTCTGGTGTGTAACTGTGCAAGTAGCTGAGATTCTCAGTGAATGGGCAAGTTCTGTTTACGCTATAACAGTTTGTTAGAGATGGGGTTTCTTTAACCGCAGAAATGTCAGCAGTAGGATCTTCTTTGGTGTGAGGCGGAAATGCACCTAATCTCACCTCCTTTTCTCTGAATTCTGATAAATGTTCTCCAAGATAATCAGCAACTAAACAATGCACGGCACCTTTCACGTTTGTGCCAATACTTTAAATGAAGATCCCTTCTTGTTGGAAGGTAACAAAGTCTTTTAACATAGGCCCGAGCACTTCACCGTAGCCAGATCTTCTGATATGAACAGCTTTGTGCAGAAGAGACCGGTAGACTGAGTTAAAGGATTGGCAGGTGGAAGACATGTTTCCCGAAACCCAGGAAATGGCCATAATCTTGTGTTTTATCATTTTTTTATGTTCCTAGAGTATGACAAACCTCGAGTTCATCGACGTAATACAATTGCAATTCTTTGCTCCTCGAAAATGAAAATAAGTGCCTTTGTAGACTGTGCCAACACAATACGATTTGAACTTTGTGGGTGCCTGTGGGTACACTACTTTGGTAAAGCCTTTTCTCTGAGACTGGCATTTCCCAAAATCTGATGCAAAGCCTGAAGAATTGGGACATACTGGAAACGGTTTTTTTTTTTTGGCTCAAGGATACATTCAATGGGCTCAACAACTTCAAATTTTTCTTAAAAACATTGTCTTCTCCTGAATGATGATGAAAGACGGCCACTAGCACAAAGTGCTGAGCGAAGACGGTTTGATTTTCAAAATTCATCTACTAAAGACGTAACGAGTTTGTCATCAGTGGTGTGGTTGTTTTTCATTAAATGTGAAACTATAATTTCCTTCTCCGCAGTTATAGATGCTGAACTTCAAATAAAGCAAAGCTCATCCACAAATTCTAAAGTAAAACTGTTTGCCCCTCCTGGGTTGTTCCCTGCCTTGTGCCGATTGCCTCTGGGATAGACTCCAGACCCCCCACGACCATAAACAGGACAAAGGGTTTCCGAAAATGGATGGATGGACCACAAGCTGCGATATTCTGACACGTTTGACACAAATGATGTTACTGAATACTTGTATTAAAAGAAACACCAAGATATGTTTTTCTGCTTCAAAAAGAAGTAACTGGCCAACTGGGAAAATCCTTTTAGCTTAACTGTCAATCAAGTGTGGGCACATGTGCAGGTGGGCGGGTCCAAACACAAATTTAAGTTCAAGAGTTTTATTTACATGTCACCTGCTCAAAGTTTCATATTGTTTTCAAAGGTAAAAAGAATGTGTTTACCGAACATATATATATTTTTAAAGAATTCTGACACTTTTTAAATAAAACCCAACTGAAACATAAAATGAATCTCTTTAATTAAACTGCACATTTTATATTTATATAATATGAACAATACCACTGATTTACTTTTTACACCACGGAGTAAACCATGTCTTACATTCTGTTATTGGTAAAATAAAATGATGAACCTTACTCATAAAAATGTCATCAACAACTGTTATCAAAAAATGTCTTCTGTACAACACGTAACACTTTATATTTTTTTCTTTTTTTGTTTTTGTAATTTTGCAAATGATTTAATGTTACAGTTTTGATCGTGTCTGTAAGTCTGTAATTACTGTAATGACCCGTTACTGCTTGCTAATCCTGAAAGCCTGGGCAACTTTCTGCTTCAGTTTCTTTGCAAAACTGAAATTATGCTCTGACTCCTCTGCTTTTCTTCGATTCTCTCTTAACATCTTTCTCATCTGCCTTTCAATTTCATCCATCGTTCTATTCATCTTCTTGTCAATTTCAGCCTGCTGAGCAGCACTCAGTTCATATGCAGGCTCCCTCATCATGATCTCCACCTTCTTGCTAATCTCTCTCTCTGCTTCCTTGTACATTTCCTGTGTATAGAAATTTTCCTCATTCATAGCCATCATCCGCTCAATCATGTCCAATAGCTGATTCACCTGGTCCCTATTGGACGAGTCATTGTTGTTGAAGACGTGGTACCTGTCCCCACACTTCCTGATCACCCCCTTCAGGTCTGGGTGAGCATCCCTGACAAAGTTATGAATGGTTTGCTTTTGGAGGTCATCTCCACGAGTGAACAGGATGATCATAAATTTATTTGCTTCTTCACCAAAGATCTCCTGCAGAGCTTCGACACACATCTTCTCCTCCTTTGTGAATCTGTTCAGTTGCATGACCACCAGGAAAGCATGTGGCCCTGGGGAGGAGACCTGGATACATCTCACTATCTCATTCTGGATTTGTTCACTAGGCTGGTCAGTGTCAAACAGGCCTGGTGTATCAATAACAGCCACATGTCTATTGGAAATGTCACAATATTCCTTTTGACACCGGCGGGTGACAGACACATTCTTGAGGGCAGATTCAAATTCCGTCCTGCCCAGGATGGTGTTGCCAACTGCACTTTTCCCCACTCCTGTTTTGCCCAGCAGGACAATCCTAATTTGGGGGCAGTCAAAGTGGTGCCATGATGCATAAACATCACCTTCACTAGGGCTCTGTCTCTCTGAAAATGAAAGTAATCACGCCATTTGTACACATTCTATTTATATACAGCACTGTGCAAAATTCTTGGCCAGTCACAAGAAATATTTAAAGCTATTTAACTATGTAGTAAATGCACTTTTATTCAGAACAAAAAAACACACAATTTAGCAGTAGAACACATGCAAATTAAGAGTAACAATAAAAACTACTGAGGATTTCTTGTGATCTATAACATGACGGTCATCATTTTAAAAAATGAATAAAAAAAATATACTGAGATGACAAGAGAATGTAGGGGCTACAAATGACCAACCTGCGTATCTGCAGATATTCATTGTTCCCTGGAGATGAGCTGAGTCTCCTATTGCTCTTTAAGGCTCCTGCATCAGGATTTGTGTGACTTAAAATGATACGACTATTCTCTTGTAGTCCCTCCTCCATTCATACTTCCCAAAATTGAAATATAGCAGTATCTTATCAATGT